AGTCAGCTGGGATAGACTCCAGCCCCCCCGCGACCCTAGTGAGGATTAAGCGGTGTATAGATAATGGATGGATGGAATTCCACAGGAAGACCAGACCAGACTATATTCAGTTGTTCATTGTTGTGTGTCCTCACCAGGTCGGAACCTGAAGGAATGGCTCCAGGAGCAGTTCTGCGACAAGCCTCTGGAGCAGGACGACATGCGGCTCCACAACGCGGCCTACGTGGGAGACCTGGACACCCTGAGGAACCTGCTGCAGGAGGACGGCTTCAGACGGTGAGGCAGAGTCGTGATTGCATTAGAGGATTGCACAGCACTTTAGTTAACAACGTTAAAGCGCGCTTCTCTTGGAAAATGATAAAGTAAAAATGTCTGTGTAGGATTTAATCTAGGTCACTGTAGAACTGCAATAGAAGGCAACAGGACTTCTTTTTTTAGATTCTTTCAGTCCAGTTGTCTTCTACTGAAGCTTTTAGGAATGAAGAAGAAATCGTGAAGATAGACAGTCTGCGTGATGAGGGACAGGATTGTATTTTACTGCAAGTAGAGAGACAGCACAGTTCTGGAGAGAAAATGTAGTTATTTAGTTTTTTTGTCTGTTTTTGTGTGGCACTAAATGGTTTGTATTGTCTGTGCTGTGTGGGTTTCTTATACGACATAACACACATCATATGCAGGGTTCCTTTATCTTCAGCACCTTACAGTACCAGTGGGCCTTGGGGGAGGAAAACAGCTCAGTAGAACTACTGGAGGGCCTTAAGCAACAAGAAGGCCGCAAAAAAACGGAAAAAAAAAAAAAACGGAATGTAATATTTTGGAAAATGTAGGAAATGTCACCTGATGACCTGATTAATTCTGTTTGGAAGAACAAGCAGGGTGATTTCTTTTGTGTGCATTTAAACAGAAAATGGAAAATATTTTTTTAAAAAGATGAAATCCGCAAATGTGAGCTTTCTCATGTGGCGTAACACGAGCGCTGAATTAAAATGGTCAAACAAATTAGTCGTGTTGCCTCGTGCAGTGGTGACACTTGCTGGACTGCTGACAGAGTACCTGATTTTAATGGTAAATGGTCACTTATATAGCGCTTTTATCCAAAACGCTTTACAGTGTTTCTCATTCACCCATTCACACACGCATTCATACACCGATGGCGACAGAGCTGCCATGCAAGGTGCTGCCTGCCATTGGGAGCAACTTCAGGTTCAGTGTTTTGCCCAAAGACACTTCCACTGTGGAGGGGCGGGGGATCGAACTGGAGGACAACCCGCTCGACCACCTTAGCCACAGCCGCCCTATTTTAGTGACTACCCCATTTCTGCAGCTAGAACTTCCACTTTGTTTCTTTATGCAAATATATCTTCATGCTGCATACATGTGGAGCCTGCATGTCAATCAACTCTTGACTACTGTGCACATGGCAGTGTTGATGCTGAGATGATATATTGTGCAGCCCTAGTCTGTGCCTACAGCCACCACACTGAGACACATGCAGGACCAGCCCATAGTGGTCAGAACACATTCAACCCCAGTCCCACAGTCATTGTATCACACTTGCACCCAGAGTCCACACACAGACAGCCCATTATAATGGCCTGAGCCAGTTCATCCCAGTTACACATGGTTTACAACATGCTCAATAAAATCATTTTTACATCACTGGGTCGGCCCTGCCTATAATAAACCAGCTGAGGCACTAATGTTGAGTTTTTTTTAACAGGTTATTTCAGCTGGTCGCTGTTGAACATTTGTATTGATGTGATTTGAGTAATACATTGTTTAGATGTGCCTTGGTGCTCATTAGCCTGCTTTCATTCCACAACAATTTATAAAAAGCTTTACAAGTGCTACTGTAATAAATCCAGTATACTAGAGCACTCCCTTCCTTTCTTTGGTGCCAGGCGTATCAATGAGAAGTCGGTGTGGTGTTGTGGCTGTCTGCCCTGCACCCCTCTGCGCATCGCAGCCACAGCAGGACACGCCGCATGCGTGGCCTTTCTGATCGCCCAGGGAGCCGACGTGGACCTGGTGGACGTCAAAGGCCAAACCGCTCTGTACGTAGCCGTGGTCAATGGTCACCTGGACTGTGTGCGGATCCTCCTGGAAGCAGGAGCTGATCCCAACGGGAGCCGCCACCACCGCAGCACCCCGCTGTACCACGCCGCACGGGTGGGGAGGCTGGACATCCTGCAGGAGCTCATCAGGTGAGGCTCGGACAGGAAGAGATCTGACTAGAACCTATATGTGATGTGTGAAACAAACACACTTCTCATATACAGGTTTGAATGTGTAACTTCACACAGTTTGCTGTCAATAAGATTCGTTTTATCACCTCACCCACTGCTGAAGATTGGTGACTAATGCTGAGGAGGTACTGTCATGCCAAGCCAGTCCATCTTTCAGCCTTCACTTATATATATATATGTATAATAACATTATTATTATTTTATTTTATTTTTTTCCTGCACTGCTTTTCTGTGGCCTCTGCATTCTGCATTTGTGGTCTACTGATAGCTATGTAATGCAATATTTTCCACTGCTTCAGGCAGCAGTCACTTCCTGACTTTATGAAACAGCTTCTTTCACCATTCCTGGAATGCACAAAAACAAACCTTGTTAGTCACAGAATCCCACTCATTTACAACAACAGCACAGTAGTCACACTGTAACACAAATACTTGACAAGACATTCTGACTATAAAGACTAAAACGGCAAACACTGTCCATTTCTACCAGAATCTTTAGACATGTACCGTGTTGCCTGCTGGAGTCTGACCCAAACATTTGCAGTAAAGGAAAGAAGTAATATTATTCCATGGTAAAACATTTTCAACAGTCCTTTGTTATATATTTTAGGTTTTAGAAGACTTGAACTGTATCCATGGTTTGCTCTTCCCAGGTTCCATGCTGACGTCGACATGGACCACCAGTTGGGTCCTCGGCTTCTCCTAAGCGCCCGCACCCTCAACACTCTGGTGGTGTGTCCTCTGTACATCAGCGCCGCCTACCACCACCTCCACTGTTTCCGGCTGCTGCTCCAGGCCGGCGCGCAGCCCGACTTCAACTACACGGGGCCCGTCTGCCACGAGGCGCTGACCCGCGGCCTGGCCTCCTGCCTGCTGGATGCGGTGCTGCGACACGGATGTGAGGTGGCCTTCATCCACCTGCTGCTTGACCACGGAGCCAACCCGGCACTTGTGCCCTGGGACGAGTCTGAGCTGGAGACTCCGAACCGGAGGAAGGTGGATCCAGAGGCACTCAGGGTCTTCCTGGAAGAGAGGAGTGAGTAGAAATAACGTGTGTGGGGGGGGATCTGTTAATATAAAGGCATTAGCGAAGAGAGTTATGATCCTGAGATGGTGTTGTTTACAAGAGCCATGGAGGCAGTCCGGAGGTTGAAACTCAAGCAGGGAGGAAAACAAAAGTAGAATATTTTTTAGGTAATGAGTTTTAATTGTCATATGAATGATTGAGTGGTGTCATTTATTGTTTAGCTGTCATTCTGTCTCCACTGTCACACACAGAAACTGTGAGTACAGTAAAGAAACTGAATAAAAACTGTGTATGCGCTCTTTAAAAAAAAAAAAAAGAAAAGAAAATACACAAGGGAGCCCCACTTGTAGTTTTCTTATTTTTCCCAGGCAACCTGCTGGTATTTGAGTGATTCCCACTGTTCACCTGGACAGAGTAAATAATCTCTAACCCTTGGAAACTGACCATCCATAAATCACCATAAATCGTAATACTAATAAGAATACGATCAGAATGGATGTGACATGAGCGGATAACGGTTGAGTTATAATAGGTACGCTATCCTGAACAGGCATGTTTTGAGTTGAACTGTACAACAGAGTCCAGCTGACAGATGTGTAGTGGTGGTGGGTTCCAAAGTCATGGTGCAGAGCAGCTGAAGGCTCTGGCAGCCTCGGTGTTGAGTCTAAAAACAGATAGCAAAGCAGCAGAGGAAGATTTAAACGAACAGAGGAGGTGAAAGGCTGGAGAAAGGTCTTACAAGCCAAGTTAAGGAGGGCCACAGAACCTCGACATGTATGTGTTGTTGAGCAGGGGAGTTGCGTGAGGAGTGGTGTGATCTTAGTGCAGGTGGTGATCCTAGCAGAAAAAACTTCAGAATGATTTGGAGCTGATGAAGAAGCTAAATAGAAAAACCAGAGCGAGTGGTGTTGCAGAAATCAATGTGAGATGTGACCGGGGCATGAATAAGATCCTGACAGTTTTGTGAAGCGTTGTGTTGAGAAAGAGAGAGAAGATGAAGTCCAGAAATACTGCAAAAGAGAAAACAGGTAGATGTTATAGCAGGGGTCTCAAACTCGCGGCCCGGGGGCCAATTGCGGCCCGCAGAACGATATTTTGTGGCCCCCTACTTGACATCAAAGTTTAACATTAGTGCGGCCCCTGAATTTTTCTCACAAGCACCTACGTGAGTCGTTGCCCTGGGCATTTTCTATTAATTATCACTTGTGGGCTGCCGTAGCTCAGCAAAGCAAATTAGCAACGCTAGTCACTTGAAACGTGATTTGGGAGTGTCACCGAGTGGAGAGAACATATGTCCTGTCACCCAGTTTTGTTTTGCTTTTTTCTATCTGTGTGAAAAGCTATTCTCCACCATGAACTTTAATAAGTCAAAGCTCTGGTCCAAACTTACTGATGAGCATCTTCAAGCCACACTGAGGGTCTCAATTGCTTTCTCCCTCAAGCAAAATGTGGCTCAGCTGTGTAAGAGGAAGCGCTGCCAGCTCTCTGGCAGCAAGGTAAGAGAAGCTTATGTTCTGAAGAACCTTTCATGTTCTGAATTGTTATTAATAAAGACTGAGAAGATTGGATCAGTTGGACTTTATCTGGAATACTTTATGCGGCCCAGCCTCACTCAGACTCTATCTCCAGCGGCCCCCGGGTACGTTGAGTTTGAGACCCCTGTGTTATAGTATGACAGCCTTTTAGTCACTCAGTACCTGGTGTGCTTTATGACATAATAATAAAATATTAAATAAATGATGTCAATAAAAATGTTTCCTGCATGTTCACGACAGTTCCACAACACAAAGCATTTTATAAATATGGAAAGCACCGTCATAGGACTGTCACAAATGATGCATAAGTGCCTGGAATTTAAATTTAATGCCCTCCACCGAGCAAACTACCGGTTTCGATGGTGTAATGAAAGATTGAGCTGAGACGTGGTTTCTGACGCAGCGCTGGTGCTGCGCCTGCTGTCTCACTGTCATGACTCATGGCCGAGACGCTCCAACAGAATCCAAGCCAACATTAATGTTGTTGGTAACACCTGCATTTTTCCTCATGGCACGCTGGCAGGCGGTTGTTGACTTTTCTAGTTTTACTGCCGTTTCGGTTTGAGGATTTCAGCTCGTAAATTGTCACAGTAAATCTGCTTCATCGAGTTAAAGCACGGGCCGCCTTCACGCGACACCAGGCGTCGTCTCTCTGACAGCTTGGATTGAGTTATTTTCGTGAAAATGAGGAAACTTGTCTGTACCTTGTTATCGTGGCGCGCTGGATTTCTGTCGTTTGATTCATTTTGCGGACGCCTCTGCTTCTTCTCTCTCTTCTCAGGACGCCCACGCCGGCTGACTCACTTGTGTCGCATCAGGATCCGCAGGGCGATGGGCAAACATCGTCTCAACCACATATCTTCTTTACCGCTACCAGAACCTATCAAGAACTTCCTGCTTCACCAAAACTGATCACCGTCCTCCTCCTCGTCTTGTAAAGTGCTCATCCTTAAAAAAAACAAACCCCTCAGTCAGTCCCAAAGACAGGATAGAGCGTTTTGTGAACCCAATTTGCTAATCGCTTATGATTTTCTAATAATAGACAGGTAATAGTATTCTTTTCCAGTTGTGTAATAGTCCTATCTTCCTGCCACTGTAATAGTTACTTTAAATGCTTCTTAACTTGTCAGAGAAGCCATAGTCATGTCTTGACTCGTGTATGTTTGTAAAGTTTGACCTTCCGGATCACCGGGGGTGTGTTGTGGTCCTACTTCACGTAGCACTTCTTAGCTTAACAGTGAGAATGTCATCTGGTTTGAAGAGTTGAACCTGCTTGTGTGATAAGCAGCTTGTTCAGATCCGGCTCCTTGAATTGCTTGAATTTCAGGCCTCTCAGTCAGACTGCAACCAACATTCTTAAATCTGCACTGTGTTGATCGTGTAGATTATCGTGTCCAGTGCAAAGGCTGAAAAAAAATTTCCGATCTAATTCTGCTCCTTTTCATGCGTTAGGCACTTTTATTAGGCTGGAAGTATGAGGGATGGAATGCGGGACGGCGAACTACTAACGCTGCTCTGTGTCTAGGTTGAACGCTGGGTGCTGATTAATTCGTTTTCAGCCATGTGGCTTAGCTCTAAGGAAAAGTGGCTTTAAACACTGATCAGACCACGATGACTAAAGATAAACCAGACTGCAGAAGCATTAAACTCCAGATGTTTTAAAGGAAGAAAAAAAAAATCATAAATAAATGAGCAATTCAAGGCGCCAGATCCTGACTGAAACAGAAGGTTTTACATTTCGGGTCTAATTACTAATGTACATGTTAGCATAAAACACTTTTAGCAACTCGTTTAAGCAAGTTAACGAATCTTCTTTTCTGTGACACTGACAATCTGTGAAATAGTGAATGAAATCTATTTATGATAAACAATAAGTTTGTATTTATTAGCCAGAAAGCTGCCTTCTCTGTGAGTCTATTGCACCGACTGTGCATGTGTGTTGCACAGCCTCTTTTTTCTTTTTTGTCCTCAAACATCAACATTTAAATAATGATCATGTTGAAATGCAAGTGTGTTTTTGCTTTCTATATCTTTAGCTTTATTTGCATACAGTAAATGTAATGCAGTTGTGTATTTTCCTCCTTTGTAATGCCTCTGTGCTGATAACTCATCCATCTGTTGTTATGAACGTGATTTCTCAGGAACACCTTGACGAAATTCCAGGCCCTGTTCCAAACGTCCTCCTGCATTGACCAACTTACATCTTGTCTCTTTCAGCTTTTCTACTGAAAGTAAACAGGAGCATCTCCAGAATATGGGAGTAATACTAACGTAGGCAACAAAAACGGTAGAAAAGTTTTGTTTCTGTTTTTTTAACCAACTGAACTCGACAATTAGAGACGTCACACTTTTGAAAGTACAAGAAAATGTATTTAATGTGCTCACATCACTGCTAAAATAAGTTCTATTGCTAACAGACCACCAACGTTAACAGCTAGCCGGTGGGAATTTCTCACTCGCCGAGAATGTAATGTATGAAAATCCAGCACATAATTACATAGCAGCGTTACATCCACGTAGTGTCTGAAACCAATCAACAGATGTTTCCCCTGGTAAGTCATCAACATAGCAAACACCATGTAATGCCTGAGTGAATCCAAACACCTCTTTGGGCTCGAGGCTGGATTGGTTAAAGGTCAGTGTGTCGTCACAAATCACACTTTTGCCCATAAGTCTAGAATTTAAGCACTAATTATGACAAAGGGTCACACAAATGTCCAACAGGATTAAAGGAATCCAAAAGGTAAAAGGTTAACGTCAACGTAATATCGTAACGTTCTGCAGAAACAAGTTTCTAACCATTTTTTAATTCCACACCAGATACTGGATTCTGAATCTTGTGTGTTCACCTTGAAGCTGTCTAAACTATGGCCCAACATGTGAACACATACAAGGAGTCTGACTCTGTGATTTGTTCCTGTCAGTGAACGCACACACATCAGAGACATGGATAAAAATGCAACTTGACTCTTTGGTCGAACCACGAGACGGTAATTCTGCTTTAATATCTAAAACTGTACGTGAGGGTTTTGCAGGGCAGAGAGATTCTTTGAAAGCGAGAAAACTTTCTGTTCTAAGAATGTGAGAATAATTTCTCTTCCTTTCCTCAGAACCTCTTCTAAGATCTTTTAAAGTCCCAAATAATTTAGGTTTGTATAAATCCAGTGAGACGGTCGTCCCCCTGTAGATGTAAGGGCGACGCAGCCTACAGATGGTGTTCATCCACTAATGTACATATTTATCATGCTCTTGGGGAAATTTATCATATATAGTGTATATTATTGTCATGTATCTGCCTTTTACAGGTTCACATTTGGGAAGTGATAATACAACTGGAGCCTGGTGAGAAGTCTGAATCCCACCAGAGCTGATGCCTTCATTACACATCGCCTATTTGCAGACACACTATAAGGACATAAAAGAAAATTGATAATAATAATTTTAAAAAAAGAACAATCTGGAAATTAATTTTAATCCTGAAGCAAGGAGCAACCAGAAAGCCCTGATTTGACGTAATGGGAGTCACAGTTTGAAGGACCTGGATGAAAGGTTGACAGCAGCAATCTGGACCACCTGTAAACAATTCAAGGATGTTTTGCTACGACAGGTGAGAAAGGAATAGAACTACTTTCCCACCACCAAAAAAATACACAGATTTGTTCCAACATGGAAAAAATGAAATACTCCAACTTAAGGATGGACTGATATATAATCACAACAGAGCATTTAAAATAGTTTACTGAACCCGAAATTGTGAAAAAACAGTTTATGTTAGTATTTACATGAAAGAAGGCAATTATTATTAATTTACAAAGGTAAGGCTGTCTGGTCACTTTAACACTGCACACTACATGGATTACACTTACATTTGTTAAAAGCAGCCATATGTTTGTGAATTTTGTCAAACTTCCCTATTTCAAAAAGTGACAGCCTTATATGGAAGTTACAATACTCAAATTGAATAAAACAAAAGCATGAACAATCATTCACACCAAAGATTTCAATTCAGTTCAATTCAAAAACCTCTTTTTGTCCAATGGGGGCAATTTAAAGAACCAAGAGCAGCTGGATCAACAAATAGATAATTTAAGACTGAGATGCTGTGGGCCTAATTTGACACTATTTCACCTGAAACAAGTATGAATGAATCATAGTTGTTATGATTAAAAAGCAAGTCACAATTTTGTTCCTTGGTAAAGTGGCGCCCACATTTCTGAGAATGAATTTAACAAATTCATATTTGAGCCACGTTAGCTGCTACGCTATAGAGACGGTGATAATGGTCTGTTGGGTGGTTGGTCTGCACTTTATCAGCCTGTCAGATGGAGTGCCATGATTTTCCTGAAAATGAAACCATCCAACTGTAGGGATCATATAACTTTCTTTTTTGCTATTGTCATCATGAAGTAAAAAATTTGAGTTTTTTGTAAAATGTTGCGACAATTATTTGCTGGATTGCCATTAAAATCTGGGGCACATACCCATGTCCCTTCAGGATGACATCATCTGTAGCTGTGCTTTTGTTTAAATGGCAAACATGGTAGACGTTTGACTGTACCTGCTCAACGTATGAACAGTGTTGTGGTTAACATTTTAGTGTGATGATATTAACAACTCACACTCTTTAAACGAATTGGCTAAAAAGGCAAAACAAATAAAGCAAAGAACCTTGACGCCATCTTTGATTGTAATCTGACCTTTGAATTCAGGTGAAAATCAACAATATATTTTACTATCTCAGAAAGACTGACTGCATCCAACCTTTCCTGTCCAAGGAACACACCGAACGACTTATTAATGCAGACTTGACTAGAGTCATTCTTTGTTTTTTCTCCTTCCAAAGCTGTGGCTCAGGTGGTAGAGCGGTTGTCCTCTAATCGCAAGGTTGGCAGTTCGATCCCCGCCCCCCCCAAAAGTCAAAGGGCCCTGGGCAAAAAAACGAAACCCAAAGTGCCCCCAAAGGCAAAGCAGCACCTTGCATGGCAGCTCTGTCGCCATTGGTGTATGAAAAGGGGAAAAAGAAAAACATTGTAAAGCGCTTTGAGTGCCGCAAAGGTAGAAAAGCACGATACAAGTACAGACCATTTACCATTTAAACAAACTTGAGATGATTAATTTTTAGATATTGCTTTTGGTTTTTAAATCCCTCATGGACTAGCTCTTGACCATTTATCTGACATGTTTGTTGGGTGTGATAGATCCCTAAGACCATCTAACCATCAGAGTATCTGATTTTGTAGATACTTCAAATGAAATCTTAAAATGCATCTTTTTAGACAATGTTCAAGTAGTTTTCATGTACTTTTATTTAATTTACTGGTATCAGACCTTTTTTAAATTTAAATACTGACTTGTGTGATATATTCTTTATGTTTTTTATCACTTTTTTCCTGTCTTTAATTGATGTAAAGCTCTTTGAGTTGCACTTGCTGTATGACCTGTGCTATACTAATAAAGTTGTTATTATCATCATCACGCTAAACTGAACACCAACCTCACTTATAGGTCAAAATGTCTGTTTCTGCTCTCATGCCTGCAGCCTGTTTCTCTCCGTTGCCTCAGATAACTTATGATATCCTTCTGGGGAAGCAATAACATGAGGTGACAGCATCCGACGTGGGGACATTTGTTACTGTTGCGAAGCTGATAAATGATCCAGGATGTCACGGTGATTGAGAAAACGGCACTTGAAGGCAACATCGCTGAGCCCAGAGGAAGATTCACAGCCTGGGAAGCAGCAGGGAGCTCCACAGCTGAGGGAGATGAGGGCCCACGCTCCTAAAAAAGTTCTGGCAAAGACCGGAGAAGATGGACTGGGATGCTTTCTGGGGGAAAAAGTAAGAAAGACTTCCTGCAAACATGTTTTTTTTTAATGTAAATAAGGCGTTTCACAAATCTTCATTTAATCTGACTGTTTAGAAAATAAAAAAAGGACAAGTAAGCAAGTAAAACATGTGACAGATTATCCTGATTGAGGTGGAAAACAGTCAGTCTGTACAGAAATCATCCACCAGGTTTGGGCTTGTGCACAACAATGCACAGCTGTTGCATGAGGTCTCTAGATGGCACTGTCTTCCTTTCAAGCATGGCAGACATCACAGTGTCTCCTGTGCTTGCTCCTTCTTTCCTCTTTTTCCCCCCTCATCCCTGCCATTGTATATCCTTCTTTCTTTCTTTCTCTCTTTCCGTCTCTCTCCGTCTACCCTCCGTTATCCTCTCCTGACTGAGTTTGCTGCGGAGGATTTAGCTTGCAGACCTCAGCATGTGTCTTCAAGAGCGTCATCCTTTCAGAACTCATTAAAGCGAGTCTTTCATTAACAGAACACACACACAGACGCAGAATGAGGCCCTTTGCACCAGCGCAGAGCGGAGAAGAGACCGGACAGTTTGGTGAACCGCTAGCTTCCTGTGGGGAACTTCCATTGCGAGAATGTTCCCTTTTAAGTCAAGCTTTTTTTTTTTCCCCCCCGCTTTTTTTTTTTTCTTATGTCACACTTTATTTAAGAAGGCATCCTGCTATGTTCACTGTGGATAGATCGTGTTATTAAAGAGGTTTCAAATAAAAAGATTTATTTGAGATTATAACAAAAGCACATGATCAAGATCAGCATTCTTTTGAAGGCTAAAATGCTGAAATACCAGGGAATTCTACTTTATTGGGGACTGCTTGTACATAAAAACTTCAAATCATGATCCGCATTAGCAGCGTTTGAAAGCTAAAGCGACTTCTTTGGTCGTGGAGCTGCAACAAAAGAGATGGTAAATGGTTTATTTCCTCTGAAAGTCACTGGGAGCCTGGAAAAGCTGAATGGTGTTGTTCATTCCTGAGTTTATTTGCACCACAAACTGCAATCAAAGTCTCAACAGCCTC